AAAATACTACAGACTGCCTTTCTTTTGGCAATACTATTATTATTTTCTAACAGAACATCATTTATCAATAATACTTGTATAATTCTTTGGTCAATTGACCAATTAATTACAATATTTACCTTGACTATCTATTATAATATAAACAAGTAACGGGAGGTAACTCCTCCAACCATTTCACTACTACGTGAGAGTCCAAGTAGTTTTTTACATTTCAGGTATCCTTATGTCAGAATCGTTTAATCAAACGCTCAGCTGCCTCCATAAACCCCTACTCGCGAAATGGCGGAGTTGACAGAGACAGCCGCCATCTTGGTCCCGCTTCAGATTTTCAAATGTTAATATCTAGAGTTGAGACAAACCAATATCCAAACAACTTACATAGTAAGCATTAATTAAAGAGTCTCTATTATCATTCCAAAATTTAATAAAAAAATATTGAAAAACAAAAAAGTTAGAAAATGCGATTTTTTTCAATTCGCTTCTCCTAACGACAGGAAGTACCAACAACGAACGAAGTGTCGCGTCCTGGATGGTATATATCACGATCTATAATCCTTGAAAGTTTCATGTTGATATCTTTTACCGTTTTTGAGTTTAATCGCGGACAAAATGTCATTTTAATTTCAGGAAATTGTCCGTAACTTGGCACCGGAAGTGAGTTTCCAAATTTTCTCTCGGATATAATAAATTCATGTTACGACACATCTGTCCTGAAAATTTCACGTAATTCCATCCAGTAGTATTCGAGAAATAGCGTGCACAAAATTAGAAAGTCAAAAAAATAAGAAAAATAATAATAATAAGAAACAATAGAATCACTATAAGGTCTTCCGTGAAGACGGAAGACCTTAATAATACGCCCTCCTCCCATATGAATATAATGGCAGTAACAATATTTTGCTATGGAAAATCCAAAATATATGTCAGATCAAAAAGTAAAATAGGGGGTGCGCAATGGCAATATGTAATAAAGATTCTGTGAAAGTTTCATTAAATTTCCTTCAGTGGTATTAAAAGGAGTTGCGGAAAAGAGATGGGGTACCCCAAAGCGTAACAGACGGACGGACATACCGATTACTATATACCCTCCCACTTTTCAAGCGGGGGTTATAATAAAGATTTTGTTCGACTTAGGCTTAAGATGTTTCAAGATCCCGGGTCAGCATTTTTCAAGTAATGTTTTATATGTTAAATGACCTAACTGATTTTTTATTCAACAAACAGAATAAAATGAAGGTTGTAAATGATGAAATCAATGGGAAGATCTTTGATCACTTAATAGGCGCGTATAACCCTAAAACCACAGTCACATTTCCAAAAACGACCAACCGCGCCGACGGGTTTTGAAGCAAAAATGGGATTCTTCGGGTGACAGTCGTCAGTTCATCGGCCGTTTTCTTGGCCGATTTTGGCCTCTTTTTTTGTCGGCCGACCATCGGTCCAAGTTATAATTTTTTATGCGTCGGTGGCCGATTCCTTCAATTGAAGTTATCCGTCGACCAACCTTCGATCATCGTCCGATTATCGGCGGTCAGTTTATTAATTCGGTCGTCCGTCGCAGGCGCGGATCCAGGATTTGGAGTTAGGGGGGGCGCCAAGATAGGCAAGGGGTCTGGGGGCCGCCTTGAGGCCCCCAGTGGGTCCAGGGCAAAGCCCTGGTGGGGGCCCAGGGGGCGAAGCCCCCGGAAGCTCCTGGATTCTAGAGATTTTGAAGGGTTAAAATGAGGTCTACCAAAGCCCTGGTGGGGGCTCAGGGGGCGGAAGCTCCTGGATTCTAGAGATTTTGAAGGGTTAAAATGAGGTCTACCAAAGCCCTGGTGGGGGCCCAGGGGGCGAAGCCCCCGGAAGCTCCTGGATTCTAGAGATTTTGAAGGGTGAAAATGAGGTCTACCAAGTAGACATATTAGATTTACGCTAACTTTGACAATTTTAGGGGGGGCGCGCGCCGGGTGCGCCCCCCCTTAAATCCGCCACTGCGTCGTTGGACAATAAGGGTGTTGAAAATATCGGCCGACGGTTCAAATCAAACTGTAGCTCAGAGCTCGATGATCGGGCGACGATTGGCCGACTTGTGAATATTTAACCTATTAAGGATACATAACACAGACAAAATTTTGATGCATGGATTGATATAAATTTTTTGAACGGAAATGACATAACTAATTAATCCGTAAGATAACAAGAAATCTTAAGTATTCCTTGCTGCTTAGATATGCACCATTTGTCGTTTTTATGCAATTCCATACAAATTTTGCACACATTTTCAACATTGAGTCACAATTTCATAATATTCTGCCACTTTGCCTTGCAAACATTACTCACGTCACCTATCTTAATATAGATCTATGAAAAAATATTCCTGATTTCTAAAGCAAAAAGATTTTTTTATGTTCTCTTTATCCAAGTCATCGGTGTCCCTAGGAAATAATGTGACTGCTCAGTGTCGCCCGATACTGTGTCGGCCATCCTGATCTTTCAGCCGACAAGACCCAAAAAATGTAGTCGCCCGACCATCGGCTTAAATGTGACCTAGGCATAACCCTAACCCTGGCGATAACAATCTTGGCAAAGCGTTACACATGCTGACCATTCCCCTGCTGTTCTTGAAAGCTTTCATTGCTTCTCAAACCATTTGATGTACAGTGATTCTCTACTTAACACTGTTACGTAATTGATTTATGAAATTCTGAACTGAAGCATCTGGGAAAAGAAACAAGAAGATGCAAACTAATTTACAATGTAATATGGTCCAAAATATAACCGTTGGATAGGAGTGAAGTATAAAACTTCAGCAACATACAAATCTATTTACACAATAAAGAATTAAAAGCGAACTTGAATAAGACATTTTTTCTGTTTTCACTGCATTTTTCTCAGGCACCATATTATCAGTTTTTACAATACTTGGAGCAGGGCAACTAAGAAAAATATTTGTCATCGACCACGTGCCTGATGTTTAGGTACTAGTAATTCAATGTCAAGGTATAATATTACTGAAAATAAGCAATCAATTATTCAATCATAACATGTAAAATGACTTAATCTTTGATACACAACACAAAAGATTTATATAATGAGGCATTTTTATAGAGAACTGAAGCGGACATGTTCAAAGATGAAAGCACGGATTATACTAAAGACAAGATCATTCAGTAATGTAAATAAAAGCTCATTTCCTCCTGGGACGAACTACATGCGTCTTTGGAGATTATGCATGTATCGAAATTTCCACCATCGAACTATCTAAACAATTTCGTGGAACGACTGCATAAATAAGCCCTGGTTAAATCTAGTACTGTCTGACGCCGTGACGTCAGACAATAAATAATCTGGGTGTTTTTTATTTGCATACCCAAACGGAAAAGATTTTTAACAAACTACTATTAAACCATCAACAAACTAGCAACAAACTACATTTTTGTGGTTTGTTAAAGTAGTTTGATAGTAAAGCATTTAATGAACCACTATCAAACCACTTTTTCTAAAAATAGCTGCAGTGGTTTGTTAGTCTTTCATTTCTGGTGATTGTGATTTCTTTATAGTTTGTTAGACTTGGTATCTTGCAACAGTGTTTTATTAGTATAGCATTTGCATCTAACCACATGGGAAATTACTTTACAGACGTGTTTAGGGTTGAATTATCTAGAATTGTTGAAGTTTCCAAGAACAGCTTATCTCTTTACATCCGGTGTTAGCTATTTGCGCCAATTTTCAAACCACCAAGCAGGTCAGAAACAAAGGAACTGGTGAAGGGACATTCAAATTGTTAGTATCATTCTGTAAGATCCCTGACTGGAAAAAGCAGCAATTAACATTATTAAAAGATGGATCTGGAAACAGAAGAGGTATTTAATGCATGTCATGAAGTAATTAAACCTTTTGAGAATGTGGATGCATATAATGCTTTTTACTAGCTTTGGGTTTTTCTTTATTTTCAGATTGACCTATAATTCCTATACTAGTTTAGATCAGTTATGCATTGAATTATGGGAAGTTATAATACTTGAAAATAAGACAAAAAAGATGTCTTTCAAAGATGCAATGAGGCCAGAAAAAAGAAAATATTGCAGCATTTTCCATGCCAGATGAAGCAGGGAATATTTAATTGTCAGCTTGAAGAACATTTTTTTTGTGAAAAATACTATGAAGATGTACACAACATGAAGGAGAATATGTGATAAGTATATACATGGACATTGACTTGGAATTGCATCTCCTAAACAAAAGGGAACATGTTGGAATGTTGCACTTGCATTGGCTAAACTTGTGAATCCTGGAATTTAGATACTCTAAAACAAGACTTGTTGAATATTTCAAAATGTGATTGTTTTAGGTGTTTTCAAAGACTTGTGGATTTGTAAAGGAAAATTCAAATCTAGTGTTTTGCTGATGGATTTGTTACCGAGTGATTTGTTAGTAGTTTGTTAGAGTGGTTTGATAGTAGTTTGTTAGAGTGGTTTGATAGTAGTTTGTTAGAGTGGTTTGATAGTAGTTTGTTAGAGTGGTTTGATAGTAGTTTGTTAGAGTGGTTTGATAGTAGTTTGTTAGAGTGGTTTGATAGTAGTTTGTTAGAATAGTTTGATAGTAGTTTGTAAGAGTGGTTTGATAGAGTGGTTTGATAGTAGTTTGTTAGAGTGGTTTGATAGTAGTTTGTTAGAATAGTTTGATAGTAGTTTGTTAGAGTGGTTTGATAGTAGTTTGTTAGAATAGTTTGATAGTAGTTTGTTAGAGTGGTTTGATAGTAGTTTGTTAGAGTGGTTTGATAGTAGTTTGTTAGAATAGTTTGATAGTAGTTTGTAAGAGTGGTTTGATAGTAGTTTGTTAGAGTGGTTTGATAGTAGTTTGTTAAGAGTGGTTTGATAGTAGTTTGTTAGAGTATAGTTTGTTAGCTCATTTGCATGTGATTTGCTATACTATTAAACTACTTTCAAACCATAGTGGTTTGTTAGTAATTTGTTATAGTAGTTTGTTTGCCCTTTTTTTCCGTATGGGTACGTATTTTATACAGTTATTGAACGTCTCAAGGTTTGTCTTTGTCTCCTTTTCTCCAGTTCTAAAAGTTTATCCAGACTGATTCTAAAATGGAAATTTGAATAATATAAAAAAGAATATTTTTCTATGAGTAATTGTTTCCTTTTATATTTGTTTTAGAAATTAAAAGAAAAAGAGACTAGAAATCAACTAACTGGATTGTAGACAAGGTCACTTCTTGTCTTGCCACTGTTTTCTTAATCGTCAAAAGATTCATTTTGTGAGAATCGAGATCATCCGATATATGTTGAATACACTTGTTGATTTCGTTCAATGGAGGACTTTCCCATTTTTCTAACACATCTTTAATATCATCAATGTTTTCACTTTCTTTGTAGTGTGATATTCGATGACCCTAAAATATATATATTTTTTTCGAATATTATTTAGATGAGTAGACAGGAGAGGGATTTCTAAACTACTGAATAATTTTACATTTTATGTACAAGTGTAATTTGAAAAATCAAAATTCGTGACTCTTTATCTTGAAACATATATAGTATTTCATAGTATTCCAAAATGACAGGCAGTATTTCTTAATGTCTTCATTTGAATATCAAAAATTTAATTTTCATATTTGAAAATATGTGAAGCAGTTTTCCTACCTTTCCAAACAGAAGACTATTTAGTTCGACCCTGGCTACAATCCAGGCTCGGTTGACCTCTAACCCCCTCTGAGCGTCCTGTTGGACATTTTGGTAAGTGTCACTGAGCTGAGCTATCAGAATGTTCAGTAGAAGGACGCAGATTGTAAACAAAAATACTGCCATAATGATAAGACTCGTAGTCCTACAGACGAATCAAATATAAAGCTTATTAAGAGGTAGATCACACATTCTGCATTCATATACTTATTCATATACTTTTCTATAGAAATACAAACACCTTTGTATTTAAACCTTACTGGAGTTCTGTATATTCTACAATACGCTCAGACTCTATCAGGATCCTACCACCAAGAAATAGAATATCCCAAAAGGAACTGAAAACATATTTAAAACAATATTACATTAACAAAGTTGAATGTTTCCAATACAAGGAGACAAGGAATAAGAAGTCGGAATCTACAACATTATCTGACATGCTTTTTCCAGATAGAAGGAGGTTTTCCAGATAGAAGGACGGTTTCTATATTAAAAGTATTTATTTTAATTCTGAAGCTCTTTTATGTTCTTTTATTAAAGAATAATGCCTGATGTCTTTTAACGAAGCTTTTTCTAGAAGAAAACATCTAATAATTGACCATCATGTTTTAGGTTGTATGTGTTACCTGCTCTCATGAAACTGTTTTAATGACCCTTCCCCTCGAAGAGACAACAGAAGACAACCACTGAAGGCCAACAGAATGAAGAGGAAGAATGTGGTGAATTGGAAAATATCGTGAATAAGAATTCTCCATAAAATCTGGACATATGCTCCCGTTTGTCTGAAGAAAAACACGTTAAGAATGACATCATGTAAAAAGTGTATAGGTTCACATAAATAACTATTCATTGGCCCTGTATATATACAAATTTATTCACTAAAACTGTATGTTCGTTTACATTCATAGTGGAAATAAATCTATTCCATAGATCTACACACTCACATATTTTAACATTTGAAAAGAAGCCCAGAGGAAAAATTCAGCTCATATAGTATGCTTACCTAAAAACAGCAGCATATTTAAAAATTCTCATAGTCCACAGAAGATAGGCAGCTGAGAACACGAACCATTGCTCTGACATTTGGGTGAATCGTAGTGGTAATATCAGAATTATCAAAATGGACGAGGAAAGATCGATATAGTTAAAAGCGTCCTGCCAATATTCCAAACGATGTCTGAATAAGGAAAGTTATTGAATTCTTGAATTGTGCAAAATGTATGTATCTTTGTTGGAGATTTATTGTTAAAATAGCTTTCTAACAGCCACATTTAAAATTAGAATTATGACTATTATTACATATGGATGATTCTTTCATTAAAAAGTTTATGCATACAGTAAATTCATTTAAAAACACATTTGTCAAGATCTCTGTTTTACTTTTCCTTTTACTTGCTGTGAAAATAAATTCAATGAGAATGTACAGTGACATTTAATCATACATACTTCCGGAGTTGATTCAATTCCGAGAAAAGAGTAAGAATGGCCATTCCAAGCGACCATACTTCACAGACTGCGCGCGCAATTTGTAGAGGTGAAAGGTCATAAACTGATGGATCAGGTGCAGAACTGGCAACAATGGCGGAAAATGTAATGGTTACTAGGGAAAATACGTAGAACATCGAGTTAATTCTGCAATTAAAATGAAAAGATGACGTTTGGTTATACTTTTAAATAAGTGCACAACTACATGTTCTCTAATCTATTTTAGCAAAGTATTATTTAGTATCGCAATACACCTTACAAAAATCGGAGTCTAGCATATTCTTTCCACTTCCTTCGTATGAGTAAACGAACAACATCATGGTACACTATAGTCTTAAAATAGAAAAGAGTTTTGTTTCAAAAGAAAGAGAAAAGGAAGGTATATTTAATACATAAGAAATTATTTAATAGTATTGGTTGAAATATGTTGCAAGAAAGAAGAAAAAATGAAAGATCTAATGGCATTGATTTATTTGGTATGTGAAAATTAATTTCGTAAATTTGAAACACTTGCTTTATTCCCACTCTTTGCTATGATTTGAAGACCAGATTTTGAACGAGGATTGAAATTTGAATCCTTCGGAACTCGTCCATTCTCATCTGCCTCTAGGACATTGTAATACACACATACATCACCACTAGGACTGACTGGGTCTATCATGCAATCCAAAATGGCCATGACTGTGTTCTAAATTGGGGCAAACCATTATTATTATAATTAATTTTTTGATTTCATAATATACACGTATAAATGAATTTTAATTTATATTTCTCTGGTAATGATATGACTTCTATTTTACATTTGAGTGTTATCAAGATTCAACTGTATTTTGTTTGTCAATAATAGTATAAAAGCAACATTTGCTAAAGTTTTTTTTTTTTTTTCCAAAATACTTTGCTTAATGCCATTGTTAAATTGCTGATACCTCCATATTTTTGTTCAGGAGAGTATGAAAACTAAATTCTGCAGACTCATTCCCGTTACTGGTATATATTTTACGGACACTGAAATGAAATTATACCGATATTGACAGGATACGTTCAAAAAATTCTCCTAAGAAACGAAGTCAATAGAGGGAGCATTTGTTACCCACAATTCATTGCTCATGTATGTAATGAGCATGGCGGCAATGTCGTCATTTCCGGCATCGAAGGCAAGGGTATAGGGCATTACCCCCTTTTTATCACGGGCATCTGGCCAGGCCTCGTGCTCCAATAGTTTAGAACAGACACCTTTATAGTTTTTCTTGACAGCATAATGTAATGGTGTCCACAAATCCTCGTTGCTAGCAGAGGTGTTAGCACCACGGTGTAGTAAGCTATTCATTAGCATTTGTACCTGAAATAAAAGGTACTTTTTGGAATCGTTCTTTGGGTATGAAATAAGAAAAAAGAGGTTTTTTTCTTAAGCTGTTACTAAATTTGAATTTTTTATATAAAAAAAGATAAGTAGAAAGTTCTAAAGAAATTATTTACTTTATTTTCTGGGTCTAATTCTGATACTATGTACAGTAATGCCTGGTCAATACTGCCTTTCTTCTTGATAATTCTATCAAGAGTGACCTCGATCTCTGCTTCTTGTTTTACGACTAAATAAATCTTTGTTCTTTCCGCCACCTTAAACAAAACAAATGCAATAAAATTTATATAAAGTGTATCTTTCGGATGAGACCGAAAAAACCGAGGTCCAATTTCGCAGCAAGTGCTGGCAATAAAAAGATCCCTCACTGGCATAAAAAAGATCCCTCACTGCTTAATGACCCCGAGTGCCGAGTACATGACAATTGTTCAACATCGTGGAATTAGAACATGAATCAGTATTAAGTTATTTTACCTCTTTCTGAAAAGAGTCGCTATTGTCGTCACTGTCATCATCCGAAAAATTAGCGTTCAAGAACTCGGTGGAATTTTGCGCTCTGGAAAGCCTCGGAAAATTTTCATCCCTCTGTGACTCTGCAAGTTATTACCAATATAAATAAAATTACAAAAAATATATATTTAAGCAGCATTCATTTTTATCTATATCGTACTTCATACTCAAACTAATATTTGTTATTCCAGTTATTTCAAATGCAATTGCATAAACGTTGTCAAATTGTTACTTTAAGTTTTACATCCATAGTCATGCTGATTATATAAGCTGAACACAACTCGTAAATAAGCATACGCCATATGCGATTATACTATAATACAATATCAGCACCGGAATATACTCTTCGTATTCGTAACACTTGACTGAGTATTGCCACTGGTATCAGCGTTGTGCTGCGTGTTTTACCATGCCTTTGTTAATTGATTTTATTGTAGTTACGTGAATTTCTATTTGTTTTTAAACTACAACTGTTGTAGGTTTCTTTGGTTTCTTTCTCTCTTTTCGTGGAAGAAGTACATAATTATTATTTGCTTGGTTTTTTTTCCTACGCTATGTATCATATGACCGTCTTTTTACACAGGGGACAACAGTGAATAAACAAATGAGCGGCTTATATAGTAAAGAGGCCCTCAGATATAACGAGTATATTAAGAAATATGGCAGACAAAGTCCTTTTACAAATCATGTTCAGCTTTAAATAGTGATTCAATACCTAAGACATAACTGAGAGAAATATATTTGAAATATATTTCGCTAATGGCATACATGTATATTACAATTGCAACATTCAATGAAAACTAAGTGTTTAATTACACAGTACCTGGACATTTTCTATGTAACTTTCTGAGGGGCAGATGATCAGATCGAGGCCGTTGGTTATCACTGTATGACAGCCTCTGACGCAGATATTTGTAACTCATGCTTCTGAAATTTAGACCGAAACTGTTTTAATGTGTCTTAAAACATTTAGATGATTAATTGATTGATTATATATTGTTTAACGTCCCAGTTTGAGAATTTTTCACTCATACAGAGATGTCACCCTATACAGAGGAAGGGCTTCAAATTTAGATATATATACTCGGCACCTCTTTAAAAAAGGACTGCTGTATATTTTTTTGTATGTCAAAAGGCACATATTTTTAATTTGTGTATGGTATAGCAGTTTGACTTTGACTCTGCAAGGCGCAGCGGTCAGAGTTCTTTATCGTACCTTATGACACAGTTTGTTGAACGTCCCTTTCGAGTATATTTGCTCGTTATGCGAAATACGACACCATTTGTCGAAGAAGGACTTAACATTCTAATATAAATTATTTCCAAACTACTTTCCTTAGGAAAAATTGAGATTATTTGTCTTTTAGATCACACATTTCCACTTTGCATATGAATATAAATCATTGGCGCCTTCCACAAAGAGTATAGAACTTGCTACAAAGACTTGTATCCCCCTTCTACAACAAACATCTAAACTGCAAAATCTAATTTTTCTATTTCATTATATTAATATTTTATGATTAAATTGTAATAAAATTTAAAGATAAAAATACCTTTTCAGCCAAAAATACAACAAAGAGATGAAATTTTAATCTTAGCCGTAGGATTTTTTGTATTTCCTGTTTTAAAGCAACTTCCTTCAATGAATTAATAAAAGTAATAAAAAATTTTTAAAAAACATGGGTTGAAAAATCTTATTACAATGTTCCATAACTGATTTTGAAACGATTTTTTCACTGATAGGTATATTTTCGTGTGGTTTTGACGTTAGATAACATGACACTCTTAAAGAAGGGGTCATAAAAATGTTATTCAAGAAATAGTAATATATATATGATCTTGAAATTAAAACCATAGAAATTTGGTTATCTTTCAAACATATTTATCATTTTTGTATAAATCCTTTGTATGCGTCATATTTTGTCAGTAGTACTCTATAAAAACAAGGAAATTCGTTATTTTTTGGCATTTTGAGACGCCCTCTCTGAAAATAAGGCGGTCGAATTTTGTGGTTCTTACATATACATATAATATACAATATAGTATTACTCGATTATCATATATTAAAGTTTGAGCAAAATATCTATTGTAGTATTTGTAATAATTTGCTTTAAAGTGCGAAAAATCGACTCTTTCCCATCCTATAAATGTACATGTAAATGTACCTGTATTTTGAGACAGTCTGTTAAAAATACCTGGGCGGTAGATTTTCCCCAAACTTGTATACTGAAGTCAAAGTAAGTTATATACGGTATAAAAATAAGAGTTTTTCTAGTGTAGTTTCCATACAATGAATCTCCAGTCGGCCCCCTTAAATTACGGAAATTTAATCGTATGCATATTTTGTTTCCACGGCGATGCAACAATGCAACGGCTCATATTCTCTTCATTTTAGAAGGAAATTAAATAAATCTTTTCAAAATGAACATCCTTTATTCTTGAATTCTTACTTTTTTGTTAACAATAGGTTTAATTGTTTGAGTTCTTTTATAAAACATATATTTCTTTGCCGCCTTTATAAGTTTGACAAAGATATTTTAACCAATATTAACTTCACCTGTTTGCCGGACATACCCACCGTAAACCCAATGTATTGAGCAGCACTCCTTAGTTTATTTAGCACAAAAGAAAGGATTAATTGGTTTGAACCATGTTAGCGAAAGAACGACCCTATAATACATGTAGGTTGTATTTGCTAATAAGGTCAATATTACCACCATAGAATTTACGAATTTGCTGACTTTAAACGAGGCTGTTGAAATTCCTGTAACATTCCTGTAACATGAACTTCTATATAATAGGTCTGCTTTAGTTTGAAAAATTACATTATCTTATTTCCAAAAATCCATATCTACCTAATACAAAGTGCTCCTGTTCTTGCGAATGGACAACTGAATACTAGCTAGACAGTGTATATATATCAAGTGAGGCCAGATTTAATTTGACTACTAAAAACATTTCATCATTGCTTATTACGTTAACATGTTAGTTTCATTCTGGATATCATGATTGCTATGCGTGGCAGGTTGAAAATTAAATAGATTATGACGAATTGAATCGAACAACATTTATTTTAAAATACATACAAAGCTTACTAAAGAATAGACTTTCCGATGCAGAACTTTTGTGAAACACTTAAAGGTACTTGGACACAGATTTGAAGTTAATATTTTCTGTATAATATCAAGAATTATATATGTTTTAATAGCATCTCACACAAAAATTGATTAAAAATCTTATTTCATCTAAAAGTTATTAAAACTTCAAATTTTTTGGCGGGTTTGATTGACTCATCCTTGCACTTTCACAAATTTTAATTCTATTCTTAATACTTAGGAAAAGTGGCAATCGAATTTTATGTTAATGTTTAATATAGCCTACCTGTTTATTCTTTCTGCTCGTCTTTATTTCATGGCACCTGATCCCACTTCTAATGTTTTGGAGGTCCGTGTTTGTCTGTTCCGGTTTCTTTTTATGGTTTTATGGAGTTTTGATGTTGAATACTGTTTGTTATCTCCATACATGTGTGTTTCATCATGTGTTGGCAGAGTCATAAGAAACCTTTTTATATTGAACAAGGATGTTACATGGATATTGCATTTCATCAATGCGGATATTTATTTTCTTGAAACATGACTGTGTCATAAATAAATATTTTTCATCATTGTGAAAAGTAGAAAATCTCATACCTGGCGTAAAATGCATATAATTTGGACAACAAAATACTGAATCTCGCCTTGTTGGAGGTTCCAGGTTCAGATGATCAAGTCAATGCTTTGAAGTTATCATTCTGCATCTTCTGCATGTATTCATAGAACGTCAAATGTGGAGAAAATGTCTCTTACTAGAATCTAAAAGCAAACACGATTACGGAAATGTTTTAAAAATGCTTTTTATTTCTTCAGTTTGTTTAATTTTAAGGTCATTTGAGGAACTTTTAGAAACAGTTACTGTGAATTTCAAGGGCCCTAGATCAAAGGTTTTGGTATTAGGGTGAAACTATATTGAGTATGTTGTAAAAATACATTGATTTTGTTTTGTCACAATCATCCTCTTCCCTCACTTTTGCAGCAATATACCTTCATCACCTGCATACGGAGTTTATATATCTCATTTGAATCGATACGCAAGAGCATGCTCTACGTATGAAAAGTTTTTAAGACAAAGTATATTATTATATGATTGAATAATTTCCATCTCTCTGATTGGCTGATATCCAACTATGTTAGAAAAATATTACGTTGTATTGACCTGCACGTGACGTTCCAGGTCAATACAAGGATTTATTTCCTCTACATTGATCTAAAAATAGTTCCGGAAATTCCAAATTGATACAAATTGTTTTAAAAAGCTGTTTAAACGACTATGATTTTTATTTTCATGTGAACAAAACATAAGCGAATATATATTTCAGGTGAGGGTGGTAAGAGGGGATGCAGGGACCCCCCACCCCTCCAAAACTTTTACTGAACAACAATTTTTTTTTTTATTTTTTGGCAGTCAATTTTCCCTGATAATACTCCTTCCTTTCAAAATCTATCCTATACAAAAGACTGACATTATATATTTCTTTCATGGCAACTAAAATTGATTTATCAAAATTATTTCAAATTGATACGACTGGTAAGGTTTATTAACTTTTTAATTCTGCTACTCTCTTGTATTTGCTAAGACTTAATAAAATGCAAACAAGTAATGATCGAGCTGTATCATTTTATCAGTGAATCATATAATAAAACAATTATTGCTGTTTTTTCGGTCAATACAATGATTTAGCCATCTTCGAAGTACAATATTCACCTCGCCCTTCGGGCTCGGTGAATATTGTACTCCTCAGATGGCTAAATCATTGTATTGACCTCAAAAGCCAGCAATAATTGTATATTATTGACACATTAGTGGATGAAACAAGAATATCAGCAGTCTCGATTAAGGATGACGTTTACTCAGGTTTCAGAAAACAGAAGGGAAATTTTATAAAATATTATATGTTAAATTAAAAATAGTTCTAAATGAATAAAATAACCCGTTTTTTTTACTCAATATCAATTTAGAAATTCAATATTTTATTATTCAAATAAAATAAACAGAAACAAAAGTCAATGTTTGGTAATGCAGAGGAAGTTCGGACTAAAGTTGTAATTATTCATTTTTGTCAATTTTTTCTTATTTTTTTTGCAATATTAATCACAATGTAAAGGTTACATGTATTTATAAATATCATTTTGCAAAAATCATATGTGTTATAGCTCTAAAAATTGTTTCAAATAATTAGAACACTATGAAATAAAGAAATTAAAAATATGAACAAAAACCATTCCAGACAACATATCTCAATAACTTGATCATTGACCCCATTTAATGTAAAGGATTGATTGATTGATTAAATATTGTTTAACGCCAAATCGGCAGTCTTTCAGCCATGTTTTGGCGGACCATTAATTTAAATCAGTTTTTGAAAGTTTTTGGTTTCTCTGGCGGCCCCCACTGAGCCTACTCTTTTTCGAACTCCAGTGAAACGATAAAGTAAAGGAAAACTGGGGCAACAAAAGTAAACTTTACTCAGATGACTAAAAATTCCACTGATAAGAACGAAAACCCACCAATTGCACTTTGTACACGTATGATTCTTGTGTTAATTTTCAATTTAAAATAACTAGGTCAATGAACTACTTTTCATGGTAGTGGTCCTTGGTATTTCTCGGGAAATACCTCAATTTTTTACACTATGACCATTTTTACTTCATTCACAAAATTTACAAGCAACAAAACTCTTTAGATAATGAAATATTTTAGCAATGGAACAGCGTTGCTTCAAATAAAGAAACTATTAGAGTTTGGGTCATAAATTTATAATTATTATAGTCCGAATTTCCTCTGTCATATTAATATTTTTCCCCAATTTTAATCGAATATTACAAAA